CTGCTCTGGCCCGGCTCCCTGCAGCCCTGCCGGCCCGGCTCTGCCCGCCTGGAGACGCGCCCAAAGGCCTGGGCCATTCCACCGCTTTGTGGGTTTGCACGGGCCTCCGTCCTGTGAGCCCCTGTGGCTGCATGTTGAGCTGCGGACAACTCCCAGGTCAGCGCCTACGGCCAAGGCCTGTCCAGGGAACCCCGCTTGACCTGCTCTGGCCCGGCTCCCTGCAGCCCTGCCGGCCCGGCTCTGCCCGCCTGGAGACGCGCCCAAAGGCCTGGGCCATTCCACCGCTTTGTGGGTTTGCACGGGCCTCCGTCCTGTGAGCCCCTGTGGCTGCATGTTGAGCTGCGGACAACTCCCAGGTCAGCGCCTACGGCCAAGGCCTGTCCAGGGAACCCCGCTTGACTGCTGCCGGCAGGGCTGGTTTCTGACTTGAGCGCAGCTGGAGGTGGAGGATCTGGTCTCATCCTTGCCTCCAAGCCTGCAATGCTGTAGAAAGCCCAGTGTGCGCTCAGGAGGACAGAGCAGTGCCCCACCCTGAGGGGGAACCCCTGCCCATCTCAGAGGGTTCCTCTCCAGCCTGCAGAGAAGGTGATAAATCCACACTCCTCTGCTGGATCTCAAGAGGAAGCCGTTGTCTCTTCACCGCCATGATGCATAAGCCTGTTGCAGTCTCCTGTAAATGGGAGTGAGACGGGTGGTGGTGGAGCATCAGATCCTGCTTGGATCCAAGTTGTGGGACACAGCCTCTGTCCCACTCGGGTGGATTCTGCTGGCAACAACCAGTCCAAGTGCAAAGGAGGGTACCACTGACCTCTCGTGCTCCGCTCGGTCTCGGGACATTCGCGCCAGTGGGAGGGAGAGGAGAACTGTATTTAGGAGAGGGACCCTTGTGTCTTGGCGGGACTGGGAGCTGAGTGCTTCTAGTGTTCTGGCCAGTCTGGTTATCTACTGCCGCTGGATGCACTCTAGGCCTGAACCAGGATGTGCCTCTCCAGACAGGTAGTGCTGTCCTGGAGGCCGTGCCGAGCAGACTGTGTAGCCAGACAGGTGTGTAGCCTGCACCCCTTTCCTGTCTCTCGCTAATGGTCAGCTCCTTGGGCCGTGCTGCTGTGTAATAGTTGGACTGAGATGCTCCGAGCTGCCCCTGAAGCTGCTGGTCCCACAGGAGAGGGGAGTATCTTGTGCTTCGTTCAGTGCAAGAGGAGCTTTTCAAACCATAGAGGATACAGCCCCTGCCCCTCGGAGGACACCGCCTGTCCTTGTTATCTGACGTTACTGTTTGCCTCCCCCTCCCCGTGACTGACTCTCCATCTCAGGGTTGGATGTTGATACTCCCCACTTCTCCGAACATGGTTATTGTTGGGTCTGCTGCCCGCCAGAGGTGGCTGCTAGGGGACAGGATGCAATCTCTCTAGTCCAGAGTGTGCTTTCTGCAGTTCTAGCCCCTGCTGGTGCCACCCTTGGTCCTTGCAGAGGTACTGCCTGCAAACTCATCTGCAGCGCTGGGAAGCCTTATTTAAATATACCAGCAATCGGTTAAACATGAAGGGCTGCGTCTAGACTGGCATGATTTTCCGGAAATGCTTTTAATGGAAAAGTTTTCCGTTAAAAGCATTTTCGGAACAGAGTGTCTAGATTGGCACGGACGCTTTTCCGCAATCTAGCTGCACTTTTCTGTAAAAAAGCCCCGATCGCCATTTTCGCGATCGGGGCTTTTTTGTGCAAAACAAATCTGAGCTGTCTACACTGGCCTTTTTGCGCAAAAGCTTTGCACAAAAGGGACTTTTGCCTGAACGGGAGCAGAATTGTATTTCCGTAAGAAGCACTGATTTCTTACAGTAGGAAGTCAGTGCTTTTGCGGAAATTCAAGTGGCTAGTGTAGACAGCTGGCAAGTTTTTCCGGAAAAGCGGCTGATTTTCCAGAAAAACTGGCCAGTCTAGACACAGCCGAAGGAGTATCTGGTCAGTAAAAGGCTCAACCAGGAGCTTGTTCTCTCCCTTAAAGTTCTGTACCCCAGGATGAGACGGCATTGGGAAGGTGGAGTTAATCACCAGAGGAGAGCTCAGACTTCAGGGTCAATGCAGCTTTGGGAGAATTCCCAGCAGCTCCTGGGTAGAGCCTAGCGACACAGGCCAGACATGCAAACACCTTCCTGGCAACGGGGCAGGTTGCAGCAGCTGGTGCGCTCAATCTTCTCCCTCCGCCTCTCCAGCAAGGTTCTGTGTGGGGCTGAGGTCTGTGGCAGCGCATCTCCCTCTGTCCTGCTGCGTGGAGTACGTTCAGCCTGGGCTGCTCTTGGGGTTACAGATTGCACATGAGGAATGGCCACAGGCCGTGGCCCTGCCTGCGAAAGGGCCCATGCATTGGAGCGCACCACTCCTGGCGTGCCAAGGACGCCTGCATGTGCAGGGTCCCACTTGTCTGCCCAGAGTAGCCTGGCAAACTCCTGCCCCTTCAGACCCCTCCCAGGGAGCCTTGTGAGTGCTCCTGCACTACCGCGTGCTGCGTGCTCTGTGCCTGCCCCGCATGCCTGGGCAGTGTCCTGCGGCTTCAGGCCTCTGAGTGCGGCTCTGCAGCCTTGCGCAGGAAGCGGAAAGGCAGCCTGTCTTCTACAGCAGCCTGCCCACTAATCCCCTCTCCTTCCTTGCAGACGAACCTCCCTATCTTCAAACTGAAAGAGTCTTGTGTGCGGAGGCGGTACAGCGACTTCGAGTGGCTGAAGAATGAGCTGGAGAGAGACAGTAAGGTGGGGCCTCTGCATGCAGACCTGCGGCACTGACCCTTCCCCGTACAGCCCCGCTCTAAGCAGCGTGGGCCTGGGCCAGCCCCTTGGGCAGGCTGCTGTGGGCTGCCATGGCAGGGGAGCCAATGAATGGGGTAGGAGTGGGGCCCATTGTACAGTGGGCACTAGAGGGGCCTGTCCATTGCTACTCGGCCAGCTCGCCCTGGTGTGTTTAGATTGTAGTGCCACCGCTGCCTGGGAAAGCCTTGAAACGACAGCTGCCCTTTCGCGGCGACGAGGGGATCTTCGAGGAGTCGTTCATCGAGGAGAGGAGGCAGGGGCTGGAGCAGTTTATTAACAAGTAAGCGTCCATCCTGGATGGCACAGCAGGCTGATAGCCTAGGCATGGCGGTGGGGTGTAGGGTGTAGGCGGTGGGGTGTAGTGGATTAACGGTGAGTGCTGTAGGCGATACGCCCGCCAGTACGGCCCCCAGCCTGGCTCCGGTCTG